TGACTGTTCTTGAATGGTCCAGCCAGAGCCCTGACTTAAACCCAATTGAGCATCTCTGGAGAGACCTGAAAATGGCTGTCCACCAACGTTTACCATCCAACCTGACAGAACTGGAGAGGATCTGCAAGGAGGAATGGCAGAGGATCCCCAAATGCAGGTGTGAAAAACTTGTTGCATCATTCCTAAAAAGACTCATGGCTGTATTAGCTCAAAAGGGTGCTTCTACTAAATACTGAGCAAAGGGTCTGAATACTTATGACCATGTGATATTTCAGTTTTTCTTTTTTAATAAATCTACAAAAATGTCAAACATTCTGTGTTTTTCTGTCAATATGGGGTGCTGTGTGTACATTAATGAGGAAAAAAATGAACTTAAATGATTTTAGCATATGGCTGCAATATAACAAAGAGTGAAACATTTAAGGGGGTCTGAATACTTTCCGTACCCACTGTATATCATCATGTTTTCATATCACGAGGTCTCATCACACCCCTAGAGAAGCGATTTATCAAAGTGAGACTGTGTTACAATGCAGCGTGTGTGTGTCTTACCCTGGTCATTCATGCTGTCCATGATGGTCATCAACTTCTTCAGCCTGGCCATTGATTCCTGTTCATTTCCTTTACTCATGAAGTCTGTGCCAAACCCAGGAATCATACCCTGAACACAACACAGACACACAACACAGTGAACCACATTTACACACTCTCAGCTTCTTCAGGGTTCCGGATCTGGTAAAGAAAACACAAATCTGTAAGACTTGCAATGCCTTGAGTCCAAGTCACAACACTATAAGTCTAAAGCTGTGTCCACATCCCAGATCTGGGCCACCTGTGTATGTGCTCCTAGACCTGATTCCTCTCCGACCTCTGACTGTGCAGCGCCGTCAGAACGGTCAGATCAGAAGTGGTCGTTTTAACGTCTCCTCCTCTGCACATACGGCCTGTCGCCATCATTCGGCGTCGGCCCCTCACAGACCGGTAACAATAAACATGGAGGAGAGCAACGACAGTGACGGGGTCAGTGGAGAGACCAGGACGTTTCACATGTGGTGGACGTTTATGGAGGAGCTTCTGATCAGGCCAAACTGGAAGGAACATGTCATAACCCAGTGGTTTGGGAGGAAACTGGGCCATTTGATCGTCGCACACACCACCTGGTTGTTATTCTTGTGCGCACGTGGCTCACATTTCAGTTATACATGTGCATGTGTGGCAGTTTAGGAGCTTAGCGGTGTTCACACCGGAACTGGGTACATGGTACTGACACACATGGACGGGAAGCAGGGACACAAAGATCAGAGCTGAGCGTTAAGGCTTGTGAAAGTAGCCTATGTCCATAACTGTTGTAATGTGTCACAAGTTTACATCATGTGTCACATGACTGAAGTACAGATTATGTGACTCGGTTTCAGGTGCAGCAGTTGAGTGGTCGTGTGTTTACCATGATCTGTCCAAAGGGCCCCATCTTCATGATGTTCTGAAACTGCTCGTACATGTCTCTGAGGGTGAACTGCCCTGAAGGTCAGAGGTTACAGGTCAATCATTATACCCACAATGCACTGCATATTCTCCGGGTGTGTTTGTCTAGTGTCTCACCGTGTTTGAGTTTGTCGATCAGCTCCTCATTGTCGTCCAATTTCAGCTCGTTCACTCTGTCGATCAACCCTTCGATATCGCCCATACCTAACAGGAAGAGAAGTTATTGACCGTTTCCATGGAAATGCAGAGGATACTGACAACGTGAATAACAATAAACATGGAGTGCCTGACATGTTATAAACCAAATGATTAACTGAGTCATCAGGAAAAGATCCTTAGCAAAAATTAACATTGGAACAGTACTGAAGTATTCAATCAATCATTGTTAAATTAACTGATGACTTATTATATTCAGATATTTACTGAAATATTTGATTTTCATTCAAATTTTTTAGGATCACTGACTGCTGCTGTTTCAAAATCTTGGTGAATTTTTCAGTTGACAAATTTGTCCCGATTATTTCCTGTAGTCCAGAGGTTTAGGTTTCATTGTTTTTGCTTCATTTCAGTATCAACATGTCTCCAGTCCAACGTGAGTAGACTGTTCAGCTCTAACAATGAACGCAAGTTTCTAAACATAGACACCTGTGAACCATAAAAAACCCAGGTTCTAAAACTTTACCATTAAAAAAAAGGGCTTTTGAAAATGTGAAAAATTCACACAGATATTTCACTACAGAGTTCATCACTCAGTAGCGACTAAACTATTTCAAAGTTTTCAGCTGCATGTAACATCCGGATCTTTGCTGGTCCAGCTGAGCCTGAACAGGACCCGGTGTCAGGAAGTGTCTGCTGTGACACGTGAAGGTGTTACCGAGCAGTTTGCTGATGAACGGCTGAGTCTTGAACGGCTCAAAGTCATCGATGTGTTCTCCTGTGCCGATGAAGATGATGGGACTCCTGGTGGCCGCCACGCTGACAGGGAACAGCAGAAGAAGGAGAGCATTAACATCCACCTGAGAGCTGCTGTGATGTCATCATGCAGAAGAGGATGATGGTCTTACGCGCTCAGAGCTCCTCCTCCTTTAGCGTGTCCATCCAGCTTGGTGACAATCACAGATGCTATGTCCACTTTGTCTTTGAAGGCTTTAGCCTGAGACTCACACGCCTGACCAATTGACGCATCCATCACGTACACAATGTTGTCTGGTTGCTAGGGAAACACCAGGAGAGAAAACATCTGGCAGGTCTGAGACCAGCAGAGGGACCTGAACACACCACTGCAGGGAACTAACTACACGTACTCTGTGGCGGTGCATTCAGGTACTAACCACAGACCACTTCACACACCTACAGTCCTTTCAGTCAGACCTGGGGTGGTGCGTTCAGGTACTCACCACTGCATTAGAGACTTGTAGCATCTCTTCAAACAGCGAGTCTTCCTGTTTGTGTCGTCCGCTCGTGTCCACAATGATGATCTCAAAGTTCTCGGCTTTAAACTTCTCTACGCCTTCTGAAGCGATCACCACTGGGTCCATCTCTGTGTAACTGAACAGAACATACAGGGTTAACAGCCAGTACCTGAACACGACACAGAGACAGGACAGCAGAGGACTGAGGAGTGACTCACCTGCCATAGAAGGGGATCCTGGCTTTGGTGGCGTTTTGTTTCAGCTGATCGAAGGCACCTGACAGAGAGAGACCAGTATTAGCATGAAAAATGTGTTCCAGAGAAAATGTGATGTGATGACAAGTGCTAAAATGCCCAACAAACTAAAAGAATCAAAGTTGAAACATGCTCAATTAAAGAACAACTCTGAATCCACACAGACTGTCCTGAGTTATAGCACCACAGGGGGCTGTGTTGGCGGGGGTGCTGGTTCACTTAGCAGTGAAATCCAGGAAGTCCAGTTGGATGAACAGATTCATTTCAATCTTATTACTAGGGCTGCATGATAAATTGTTTTGTGAGCGTGATTTAGATCCCTGTGTGATCTCAGTCTCACGTGACAATGAGTCTGCCATGTTTGCATTAGCAGGGAGATGCCTTGCAACAAATCAAGTGCTTATTTTTCCTCGCTAAGCTGCGTTAACCAACAGCAGGAAGGCGTTATATCACGTGATGAGCTGTAGACAGGAAGAGAAGGCCTATTCACAAACCGATCCACTGTGTTTGACAATATGAACGATATTCTGTACTATTTTTTAAACGCTGTGCTGCCTGCCCCGTGGACCTAGCGCCAAATAGCAGTTGATGCAGAAATAAATCACTTTGTAGTTATTGGTTAACGCAGCTTCGCAAGGAAAAGGGAGCAGTTGGTTTGATGCAAGGGACCCCACTGCTAACGCAAACATGGCAGAATCATCGTCACTGAGACTGTACAGGGATCTAAATCAAGCTCAGACAACGACTTATCGTGCAGCCCTACTTACTACACACTAGAACACAGCACACTGGTTTGTGACACACACTCAAAGGACGGCTGCAGCTGTTTTATGTTTGTCATGACAATCTCACGGCTAACAGCAAGGATACGGGGTTCACATTACAAAGGAATATGCACCTGGACAATCACGTGCATGTGCATTGCCAGTGCAGCATCTTGCTGGATAATGTCACATTGAAGAAAAAAAGGGAAGTTGACAAAAACTCAAACTTATGCAAATGGAATGCGAGCGACAGCCAGCTCAGATCATCTCGATTCCAGCGGAAAGAGAAGCAGAGTCATTCTCTGCTCCTCAAAGGTTGGAAATTTAAAAAAAAAAGGATGAAAAGATCACTGTCACAATGTTCAGCTTCTCCATTAACTATGACAAAGAATAACAGGTGGAAACAAATTGCAGACTTTGTTGGTGTGACAGGTACATCAGGAAACACCTGTTTAGTCGGAGCAGAGGATGGAAATGTTCAACACAACTATGAACTGATGAGAGGCCACATACTGACACTACTCCATGTGTGCATGTGAATGCAGTGTTGTGTCAAGGTGAGCAAAGCGTCACATCAGGTGACCCAAGACGAGTGGCAAGTGCCGCGTTGCATCAAGTGACCAAAGGTGAGCAAAGCGTCACATCAGGTGGTTTGAAAGCACCTTAAGTGTTTACCTGCTCTGAAGGTGTCGGCACAAATCAGACAGGTCTTCCAGCCTTTCCTCTGGTAATAATAAGCCAGCTGAAAGAAACACAGCAGAGTAAGAACAGAGAGCAGGGGCCGCTCTACACCAAACAACAACCTGTAATAGGAGAGGAGGCAGGATTAAGCCTCAAGTGTGTGACATCACCTTGGAGCAGGTTGTAGTTTTCCCGCTGCCCTGCAGACCGACAAACATGATTACGTTGTTCTTTCCTTTAGTGGGAGTCCAGGCCTTCACACCAGGGTCCACCAGCTGCAAATACACACATAAAACACAACACACACAGGGTATATACACAGCACATACACGGTCATCAACTTTTCCGCTGGAGTATTTCTTTACAAAAATCATTTATATTACACAACTTTACTACAAAAAATATTACCTTTTAGAGCTTGTTTCCCACAGTTACCTAATTTGTTGTCTTTATTTTTTATGTGCATGACTCCACCTGTTTCACTGCCCGACACCAAAGCTCCGAAGCTTATCTCACTCCTGTTTCAACACATCGTGTCAAAGCTCGTATCAAATGAAAAAACCCATGACCGGTTACGTCTGAAGCTACAAACGCCTTCACTAAGTCAGTTTGGAACGCTTCAGCTAAACTAAGTGATCTCGGCACATTAGAGGAATAATAAGAGAATCACTGAGGAGCACGGCCACGTTCACTAGAAAGACAATCATGAGAAGGTTTGTACCTGATACCAAGTACTAATCTAAACAGACGTAATGAATCTTGTTCTCCAGTCACATAACATTGTGAAAACTTTACATAAGCATCAACCATAAAGCTAGAATGCATCAGGGACACTGGACCTTCGCTGAATCAAAGCTGCTGCACAAGTTCATTTTTACTGATTCACAAAATACCCCAGATATCTGACTAGTGTTCAGAAAGAGTCATGGAAAACCCAAGGCTGGATTCTCCGATTCTTCCAGAACTTTTCCAGGCCTGACCTTGACGAGCTCCTTGAAGACGGCGTGTTGGATCATCCTCCTTTTGTTCAGGCCTGAAGCCATCTCCTCCAGGTCTATGGCAGACCTGCAAGGACACACACAGGGGACAGAGATCACCAACAGCTGCTGGACTGGACTGAACCAGGTTTAGCTCCTGGACCAGGACTCACTTGACGTTCTCTCTCAGCTGTTTGACCAGTCTGATGTTGACATCGGCCTCCAGCAGAGCAGCACACACCTCCTTCAACATGGCATTTAACACCTGAAACACACAGACATGCAAGATCATGGCCTCACACTGGTTTCTGGGAATCTCAGAGTTTCAGTGACCTCAGGAGAATGTGTATTTGGTGTGGCACACAAAGGTGCACAACAATACACATAACAATATGTCATTCAGCTGCATGGTCAATGAATCCCTTATTAAGTTATTTAGTTCTGTTTAGCCTCCATTTCTTCCCGTCATTTAGTTCTGTTTAGCCTCCATTTCTTCTCCGACTCTACAGATATTGACAAAAAAAAAACAGATGTGTGAAAATTCCACAACAAACATGGCAGACAGGTTTAAACGCTCCAAAGTTAAGTTAAGTTAATGCGATATCAAGTCCTGTGTTTAACCGATTCTATGGCAGAAAGGTTTAAACGCTCCAAAATTAAGTTAAGTTAATGTGATATCAAGTCCTGTGTTTAACCGATTCTGTCCAGCATTTTACAGTCAGCCCTGGTATTCCTGTTGATGACGTGAGGGGGACGAGTGCTCCGCCTCAGCCTGCCGCCACTGTTATACTGTGTTCCATCAGCGTCAGACTCTGGGGCCTGCAGCAGCGTGACAACCAGCTCACCTGCAGCTGATGCTCAGGACATCAGAGTCTTACTGAGTCGATACTGACTGAATGATACAGCAGAAGTGTGTTGTGACGTGTGCAGGCGCATCCCAGATCTGAACACCCCCTCTAGGTGATGAGCAGCAAGAGTGAGGACAGGGTTAATGTGTCCGTGGGTTAGTCTGATGGTGATTCAGTGTCAGGCCATCTGCTCACTACTGCTTACAGCAACAATGTGACTAGAAGGATCCACATTCAATGACTGTTACTGCACTGAGTGAAAAAAACAACAAACAGATGCTTTCATTCCACCAAACAAATCTGATAAGGGATTCATATAGATTCACATTACCTCTTCATTGATGATGGTGGCATTGCTGAGGGACCTCAGCGCCGAGGTGATCTTTCTCCCCAGGTCAGCCAACACCATGGTGACGGCCTGAACTGATCCTGAAAACACACAGAATCTGTCATTGATGCAGAAACACAGATCGCGCTCCACCGCAGAAACAGTTTCAGGATGTCCTCCCCCTCAGGTAGAACCTCCTGATGCAGGGTTTTCCCTGCCATAGAAAGGCCTAAGCACAGCTCCTAGGGATGACAGTCCAGAATGAATATAAAAACAACAGTGAGTTATAGATGCTGAGAAATAAGGGAGAGATGACGTGATCTCAAAATGAAATGTAAGCTGGCAACAGGAATGACCTGTCAATCAACAATCAGTGTTCGGAATAACATCTGTGTGAGCAGCAGCATCGTCAGGCTAATCAAACAGGTGACTGGACCCTAGGTTTCCAGTTTCCCTGACACAATCTTCAGACTGGTACAACGCATTGACATGAGGACCAGAACTTTTTTAAAAATAGTTTGATATTTAAACCAAGTTGTGCAGCCACTTCTCTGGATCTGTAAACTGTGGATGTTCAAATGTCCTTTTGTGACACATTTAACATGAAACAACAGAAAAATTAACAGAGACAACATGGAGAATTATTCTAAGTAGCCTTGAAATATAAAAACCTGCCTGTCAATATCAGCAGCCACTTGATTAGCAACAGCTCTACAGAGTAATACTGTCCCCGTGTCCTTGCTGTCTGACTTCAGTCCTGTTTATCACTGAGCACACAGTATTCTGGAAGCCGCTTCTATATTTACATACATAGGTGACCAGAATATTAGGAACACCACAAACTATGAGCTCGTGATCAAACAAACATGTTCAAACACTGAACATTAGCCATTATACACATCTGATGCAACATTTCACCACATGAATTCTGACTGATCTGGGGTCTGTCTGATGAAGTTTAAAATTTATCCACTCACCCTGTGTGTTGCAGCAGAGACTGTGTAGTTGTGTGTGTGCGCGTGTATTTGTCCGTTGGGAGGGGAACCCCCCCTATGAGCACGCTCAGTGAGTCAGCAGGTCAGCTGACAGGTGAAGATCCAATGTGCAGCCACTCTCTTCCTGTACAGACAAGAGGAAACATCATCAAATCAAGCGATCCAGTCCCACAGTCACAGAGATCTTAAAACACAACACGGACTCATTCAGGGTCACAAAGAATGCCCTGGTCACCAGATTAACTCTGGCTACACCGGCACATTAACCTGTGGGTAACCAAGATTGATGCCTTATGTGGTCTGTAGTTTGTGCTGCTGTGCTGAAGTTGAGCAGATTATTAGTATTATTGAGTCCAGCTGAGTCAGAGGGACAGATTCAAGACTGAAACCAGTCAACTCATTCAGATTCATCACATGATAATTTACTTCATAAACAGAGAAAACTGAGCCAGTCCACTCTGGTATTCTTTTTGATTCACAGTGAAGCATATGAGCTTAAGTAACAGAACGTTTGAGTTTCAGAAGCTACATCAGCACTAACAATATGTTCATTAGAGCAACAATAACTAGTTAATATTTGCGCTTTCCGTCTCGTATGATGCGATGTTTTGTCACCCTGGTCTGGGAGATGTAACGGGCAGTTTCACTAGTTTCTAACATTTTGTTTCATAGAGCAAGTCATTTAGACAGAGTAATCGAAAACAAAAATAAAGGTACAGAAATAATAATGCATTGTGTTTGCATTCCTGTTGTAAAAATGATTTTCTGTTTAAGCCATTTCACTCGTCTCCTAAATTAAAGCCGAAAGCAGAACATGTTTGTGTTTTCGATATTTAATGCAAATGCCTAAACAAAGAAGTGATCAAAACAACTGACTGTTTAGTTTCAGCGCAGTGAATCTGATGCAGTTTTAAACCCACATAACACAATAATTACTCAACTTTATCATCCAAACATTTATCATCCAGACCTGAGTGCGTCTCTGATCATATCACCATATCGATAATCACACTAATAGATTGTATATCTTCATTTGTCACGCTGTTTGCGGTGCTAACGCTGCTGAGTAGTTCAACGTTAGCAGTTAGCCTTGTTCGTTCACAGAGAACGGGAGTTAGCTGTTAGCTCATTTAGCCGCATGTTAGCCGTTTAATGGTAACAGTAAGCGGGTTAAACAGAATAAAGTGTGAGCACACAGCGGGAACATTAAGAGGTTAAATTACACAGAACTAAAGAAAAACTTACCAGTTTTACCGTCTCTCTGTGAGTTTATTCAAATAGCAGCTGAAACTCTCACAGGCACGTCATCCAATCCTGACTGACCCGGAAGCACGCAAGTCCTCTTCTACATTAAATGTCCAGGAAAACTCATGAGCACCACCTGGTGGCCCAAATTCTCCGTTCATCCGATCCTGAACAACCAGAGGATTAGGGTCCTGAGGCCTCACCACAAAGCGAGTTCAGATTAGTCTGGATCTCTTGCCGTTACCTGTCTGCACCGAGTCCAGCCTCAGTGCTGCAGCACAGTGTTTCTACACTTTGATCACTGTTAGACATCAGTTCATTGCTACTATAATCATTATTATACAGTGAACATGTTCTGACCACAGTGATATTGGTTATCCCTGGTGAAGGTCCGTTTACCTTTAACAGAACTCGAGTTTGTGCCTTTTTGCTCTCAGGATCTCAAACTACACCTGATTCTTTTATTTCATTTTTTAACACATGCAGGCTATTAAACTGTGATAATTACACCAACAGAGCCCTGCGATGGATTGGCGACCTGTCCAGGGTGTACCCCGCCTTCGCCCGATTGCGGGCCGGGATTGGCTCCAGCCCCTCCCGTGACCCTGTTCAGGGATTAAGCGGTAGAAAATGAATGAATTACACCAACAGGTCAAAATTCCTCTCAATACGTTCTCATCTAAAACCATAATTTTATCAACACTGTTTTAAATGTCAGAAAACAATCCTTACATATCTGAAAATGTGGTTCAAGGTCCTGATCAGCAGGTCTGACCTCTAAGGACTGGCTGCTATGACAACTTGAGTTAAATGTGAAAATGGCTTTAAAAAGCAGAAATGTGTGATCTTGAGAAGTTGGTGATCCACATACAAAAAGCTGGGCTCGGGTGTGAGGGAACAAATTTTATTTTATAATCTGGTTTTATTTCAAATCATCAAATGTTTCTGACATGATGGATGTCTGTGAGCAGGTTCCGTATCCATGTAGCCTACAGAGTAGTACAGGTGGATGAAGGTCAGAGGTCATCATACAGTGCTGTCAATCTGCAGCCAACTTCCTTCCACTGAAGAATCTGACTGGACAAACTCTGCAGGTCCACCACCAAAGCCAGCAGCTGGGCAAGAGAGGTATTCTGACACAGAGAGAGAATCAATTGTTATCCTCCTAACAAACTAGGGGGTATTATATACTAAACCTGTCACAAATTACCATCAGCTGCAAAAAATAGCACAGCACCCTTTTTTTTTTCTTTTTTAAGCATATTTACCAACACTGATGATGTAAATGAAGATGGCTCCAGCTTTGTTGGGTTTTCCTTATAATACTGCAAGTCCTGATTATGTAAAGTGTCCTGAGACAACTGTTGTGAATTGGTGCTATACAAATGAATTGAACTGAACTGCAGCTGTGTTAATTTGAATACACCTGGACTGAGAAGTCCACATGTATGCAACATGTGTAGTAGAAGTCCAAGTTCACTGTGACCAAACTGTAATATGGCTGAAGAAACCAACAAACGCATTCTGCAGGTGCAGTCACGTTGCCTCCTGCTGGTCAAGTCATCTTTCATTTCGTTCAGTAAGTGAAGCATGGTTTGACCTGAAAGCCTGTAAAAGTCCCTCACATTCTCCTCTGGCGAGTGATGCCATTTACAAACACCCTGTCCCTCATCTCAGCTCCACGATCTGCCGGACAGCAGGGCCGCACATTTTACCCCCGCTTTCTCCTGACCTTACATTTCAGCCGCAGTTCCCTCTGTCGTAGCCGTGGTAAATCGGGTGCTGAGGGTATCTGCATAAATTTCCACTCTCTCCTCCCTGATTTTTGTGTCCCTGAATGAGAACCCAGAAAATACACTGCTCAAAAAAAATAAAGGGAACACAAAAATAAGACATTCAACTATGTTGTGTTCCCTTTATTTTTTTGAGCAGTATACATATTGCATGAGACCCTGTGTCCCCTCCACAAACCCCACTGTGACTCCTTAGAAAATATGAATTTCAGTGTTTAGCACCAAAAAATGAGCCGTAAAACCTTAGTAAATATCCCCCTTACATTCAAAACAGAGACAAACAGAAGAAACATTTCTACATTAAGTCCTGACCAGCAGCTGTTAACAAAATGAAGTAACATGAACATAAATACAATAAAACCATATAAACTTCAAAGCAGTTGGACCAGTTATACAACTGGTGCTTCTATTAATTTGTCCACCCCATCTATATGACAGAAATAACACAAGACACATCTCTCTATATAACAAAACAAACACCAGATCTGTCAGTATAACACAGTCCAGCTGACAGCGCCACAATGACCACACAGGTGAACCAACACCTCTGTGAAACCATCTGATCATCATCATCACCTTCCTGAGGAAGGGTTTACTGCACCGCTGTTGGAACAGACTGACTTAGTTTGGCATAGGGGTTCCTAATAAACTGACCAGCTGAGAGAGGCGGTCTCTGGTTGTGGTCCAGCTGTGGATGGAGCTCAGCTTCTCCTCCAGAGTCTCTATGAAGTCCAGCAGCATCTTCACCACCTCCACCACACACCTGAAACAGAGACCAACACAGACCCTTTCCTGAATGTACCACGCTGGCCTCTGTACTGGTTCAGTCTTACTAAGGAAACAACAGCTCCTGGACTTTGTCTGGTCTGGGTCTGACCCAGGGTCAGGCAGATTCAGACTTAGGCTACTGATGTGGTTTTAGATTCTGAACCAGATATTTTTTATAATTTTAATAAGTTCATGTTATTAAAACATTTCTGTTTCATAAAACATCTTTAGTCCAGTGGAGTCCAAATGAAGTGAAGTCAGAACAATGCAGCCAGGATTTAGCGTGATCCCAAACCCACTGCTGGTCTCTGTCACAGTTGATTTTAAACATCTTGCTGATGGACATAATCTGAAGCGACCCAGTTCACATCCCAGCGTCAGTGTCAGTCTGCTGCTTCATGTTTGTGTGGATCATCTGCAGAGCCACACAATCTCACCTGGGGCCTCATTTATCAACCGTGCGTATGCACACTTATGTGCTTATGAACCTTTCCATGCATAAAAGGTGATTCATCAATAACCTCATATGTAAGAGTGTGCATAAATTTAGAATCACGTTCGACCATGTGTATGCACAGACACTGTGGAGAACGTAATCACAGTAAGAACTACACCCACCACTCCAACATAGTGGAGTATTTTATTCTTTTGAAGAAAGGGAAATCACCTGCTGTAGTGTGGAACTGAGTTGATTTAGATTCAAATTTGTCTTTAGTTCTTCTTTTATGTCGATAATGCCCTGAATGCTCTCCTCTCGTTTCTAGATCACAGCTTCAGTGAGGACCCTCAGCTCACAAGCTGCCAATCTTCAAGTCATTCTCCTAATGTTTTATCATATTGATATCAAATATTTCATTCGTTATGTTGATTTAAGCATCTTTGCCTTTAAAAGCCTTGTTTAAATAAAAGGTATTATTACTACTGCTATGTGGACCTGAGAGTGGTTGCCATGGAAACCATCTCTACCTGTGCAGGTGAGCCTGGATGGGCAGGTTGGTGTGGCCTGGCAGCTTCATCAGCCTCTGTTTCAGATGGTTCTGATCCTTCAGGACATCCTGCAGGTGACCACAGAACATCTGCAACATCTGGAACCTCTGAGCTGCAAAATCAGGAATCATCTCAAAACACTGATCAGTTTCACAAAACCAGTCGATTTAACAGAGAAAGAATTAGAGTTGTCATTAATAAGACAATCCATTTACAAATGTCTTTCAACACTCACTGAGGTGAAACGGGTGGGTGACATCAGCGTACTCCTTCTCTGTCTGCAGCAGCTCCGTCTGCAGCTGCAGCTGAGTGGATACCAGAGGTCAGAGTTCAATCAGAGCAGGACACTGGACACCAGCATCAAACTGATGTAAGTGTTCACACTGCAAACACATTCAGGTCCAGGTCATCAGGACAAACCCAGGAGAAAATGTCAAAAAACCCAGTCTCCAGTGGCTCTGCACATCTTCATGCACACTGCCCAGCAATGCAAAGTAGTCTCTATACATTTAATCAAATCTGAGTAAAGACTTTAATCTAACTCTGTACTTGTGTATTATTAAAAGTATAATTTCTCTAAGAACAGCTTTTAGAAGCTGCTGAAACATGAGCTGCACTGTCACAAAGAAACAAGATCACCTGGCAGGTCAAACTCAGAATGAAAACCAATTAAAATAAAAAGCCTGACACCAGCTGACAGAACTCAGAGCTGCAAAAACTTCCTTTAAATCACTGGATTTAACTGGAATTCCATTTATTGCATTGGTTTCTGTCTGAAGCTTAACACCAAACAGAGAAGTACTCAATTCCTGGAATATGGGCTGTCCATTATCAAATTAATTTGTTCAAGAATAATACTGAAAAACAAATAAGGGATCAGAAAGCTGACAATCACATTTGGTGCGTCTCCCTTCACACAGTGGAAACCACCCAAAAGCAGAATGAATTATATTCTGCAGCTGAAATAAGAACAATCAGAAAAGATGAAGCGATTACAAAATGTTTTAGTTTGTGTCCAGCTTAAAAACTTGTTCTTGCTCAGACCGACTTGTCATTGTAGTCATTTTATATTTTGCATGCCGATACACTGGGTGACAGCAGATTTCTTAACATTTAAAAGATAGAGGAAAAAAAAAATCAAGTCTAATCAGAAGCTGCAGAAACAAACATTGATTGCAGACTTTCAGGAGTTTAGAGAAGCAGGGCATGACATCAGATCAAAGTGTACCCCATCCAGCTGTCTCCGTGTCCTGATTCGGTGGTTGGCCTCATGCAGGCGAGAGGAGAAGGCAGGGCTTAGCCTATAGGAGGTGGAGTCGATTTCCTCCTGAGGACAGGTAGAGACAGAACATGTGGTCAGAGAAACATGATAAACCTGTTCTGTGATGGGTTTGTGTCAGATTCTACTGAAACAATCTCAGGTCATGGTTTACACATAGACACACCTTAGTTTTCTTTGCACCCTTCACTCTGGGTTTACCTTGGCACACACACAGACAACAGGTAAATGTTGACATGGGCACACTTTGTTTCTGTAGAATGCATTTGTTGCTTGGTTCTTATGGTTTGTGATTCAAACTGAACAATGACACAAATTGTCCACTTTAAGTGTAACTGAGGCCAGGGAAGAAGCTGATGAAGAAGGCTGGCTCTGTGCTGAGGCCTCTGGAGAGGAGGATGCTGCACAGACTGATGGACATCGTGGAGAATGATGACCCTCCTGACCTACAGGTGACACAGCAGAGCATGCCCAGTCAAAGGCTGGATGCTACAGGAAGTGTCTCCTGTCACCGCCATCATTCTGTACAATGACCCTCCTCTGTGCCGGGAGAGGGAACTCCTCCTCTGACTACATACATTTGTTAACACCCATGGATGCCCCTTAATCTTCTTCTTTCGGCTGTTCCCGTTAGGTGTTGACACAGTGAATCATCTGTTTCCACCTAACCCTATCTTCAGCATCCTCAGCATCCTCAGATGGATGCACCTTAATGTGCAGTTATTTTTTTCAACTGACTCAGTTACAGTGTATATTAGTTTACCCTGTTTAAGGCTTCTTTGCTTTTATTTGATACATTTTAAAGTTATTTTTACTCCACAGCTTATTTAGCTTTGTATAAGTGTTTCATTACGTCTGCTCGTTTCGGTACAACTTCTCTTTGGGCTATAAAGCAGACAATCCGACCATATGGCGTGACCAGTCAGTGTACAGTCACTTCACACCCCTCACTTGAAAGTGTAATTGCTGCCACAGGAGTCGTGTCTAAGAACGTGTTTTCACTGTGAGTGTAGACTGATGAACAAACAACAGTTTTAGACAAGTTTTTACCTGAGACAACGCTCCTCTGGAGACGCACCTTGCCATCAGGGCGGCAGCTGGGGTCACCAGGAAGGGACACTGGAGCATCTGAAACACAGTCAGCAACGAGGAAAAACGTCTGAAATGTCTCAGGTTAAAAACAGTCTGACGTTTAATTATTCATCTTCTGTTTCGATCCTAATTTACACAGAAAGCTACTGTGCGTCCAGTTACGGAAGACAACTCAAAACCAAGGAGAACATTTGTATAAAACATATCTTCACCTACACGATAGTTCTGTAATGTATGTCGAGCTGAAAAGTGGCGAATAAACGAAAGACGTTTCTTTCTTACCGTTTAAAGCGAACACTCTGCTCTACAATCCAAAACAACGACAAGAGCAACTACACCGAACCCGCCAGGACGATTTGAGTTCCTATTGTTTCTTCCTCTCCTGAAACATTTGGCGGATTGGCAAGTCCCGGCGACATTACTGCTCCCCCACCAGGGCAGAAGGAGAACTGCACCTAGTCGTTATTTAATCTCCGTCAACGTCCTGAGAAAAAAAATCTCTTTTACAAGTACTGCATTATAAAAAGGTAGTTCTTTTTACATAACATCAGCTTAAATCAAACATTTAAAAGAAACTAATAGGCTCCCATCCATGTTTATGCAATATATTATTGGGTTTTCTTTTACACTTTGATAACAGTATTGTAGCTTATATGTGGAGTTTACCTGCAGACCCATATTACCCTACTATTATATTATTATTGTGCTTTTATAGTCTACTATCCTACCTGGAAAATACACTGTATTAACTGATCTGTTCTCGCCTGGTTTTGTGTTTTGATGAACCAAAAACAATTTCCCACTCAGGTGGACAGTAAACATATTCCATTCTATTCTATGCTGTAAGTGTGTGTGTGTGTGTGTGTGTGTGTGTGTGTGTGTGTGTGTGTGTGTGTGTGTGAGAGAGCGAGAGAGAGAGAGAGAGAGAGAGAGTGAGTGAGGGTACAAACAGGTCTGGCTGCATTCTCACGCACTTACAATAAATGATTTTTTTTTTTATACGAGCATTGTGACGTCATTTCTAAGCCCAGCCTATATTACAAACTAAATTAGTCCCATAAATATTTCCACTGCGCTAGCCTATTAGTACTTTTGTCCTGAATCGTTTTCATCTCTGCACAAACAAGTTGAAATCAGTAAAATACGATTCTGACTGACAGACACCATCATCACCATCCAGCAGGTGGCAGCATCTTCCCATTTTCACAATGGATGAGCAGGTGTCTTTCATTTATCCTGGTTAGGGTCTGCAAAGGAGCCTGCATCAGACTGAGGTTCAGGTGCAACAGGGACTCAGGAAAGTCCTCATCAATATGTAGAACACACTGAGATTAAACAGCAGGCTGCAGAGGTGCATCGACCTGTAACTGGTTTCCTGGTTTTCAAATGGAAACATCTGGTCACCTGAACACCTGGTCACCTGACTGTTTTATTTTGGTGAATGACTCCAAGATACTGTGAATCATCCTTCTGAAACATTTCCTACTGTAAAAAATGATCAGACCATGTTCTTTATACATCTATAATCTAATCCAATTCCTGTCAGTCCCGAAGAGAAGTCTCACTTAAATTGGTCTGGGGTGTCCTCTGTCTTTTCCTCTGTAATTTGGGGGAGGTGGGGGGAAATTCCTGGCAAGTCCTCGCACAGCTAAGCGCCTCCAGTAGACAAATGTGTGAACTGTAGTACTGATCTGGAGACGTAACTTCGATTTCACTTTATCCTGATGGTAGTCTGTGGGTGTTGCTGTCTGAGCTCTTCATCCAGGACAGCTTCCATAATCTGATCTGAGATCAGATGAAAGCAAAGGTCAGAGGTCACACGGTGTTCAGGTGAGACAGTGTCTGACCTCCAGGTAAACTCACTCACTTGTGGACTGCAGTAGATGACTGACAGCAGAGGAAGAAAGAAAATATTTCAGCGCGTGTGTGTCGATGGCTGGGCCGATAAAACAGAGTTGAAGAGTTCAGGGAGAAACAAAGGCACCGACACGCCTTTAATAACAGGCTGTAGCACACACACACACACGATGCATTGTCTTATGTTCTGATTTATTAAAACACTGGTGGAAAGTAACTAAGTACATCTACTCAAGTACACTTCTGAGTTACTTGTGATATTTTCTTTTCATGCCACCTTATACTTCATTGCATTTCAGAGGAAATATTTTACTTTTCATCTGACAGTTTAAGTTACAATTAAGACTTTAAAAGGAAAATATATGAAGAATTTAAATTATTGTGGTTGAAAATTAAATATTTCAAAATAATAATTTGTCATTTTAACCTTTGATGGGGAGTAAATACATGTATATGTTTCAATAAGCACAATTTGAACATAAACCAACATGAATAAATGTCGGGCACAACACTGTGGATGAATAAAGCACTGACACTGTGGGTGTGAGGCTTCCTGCTGTTGTTCACTGCAGTTACAACTAGATCAGGCACATTGACACGTACCTGCTGTACTGCATGACCAAAAGCCTCAGACACTAAAACAGCTTCAGTTCTGGATACCTGGGCTTGCCGTGGTGCTGCAGGACAGAGCGACATCTCCTGATGACGGAGAAGAATCTCTGACCTGTTGGTCGTCTGAAACCTGTCTCCACTGAAACCGCTCATATACGTACGGTGCTTTTTCTTTACGTATACATGTTGTTATTACATGTAGACCGGAGAAGCCGGGGATCAAACTGCTGACCCTCCGGTTAAGGGAGGACCTGTTCTACCTCCTGCACCACAGCCACCCGTAATAGAAAGTACTCACCCTGAACCACTGTGGACTGTGAAGAAAGTGACAAACCTAAACACCAGGAACCATCTCCCTCATGGGGACCCTACAGATGCACCTTCATCCTGGACCCAAAGAAGTCAATGCACCTTCCTCTGAGGGACCCTAAAGAAAGTGATGCACCAACTCCTGTAGACCACCTCACCCATAGGGGCCCTAAACAAAGGGGACCCTAGAGAAAACAACGCACCAGACTGTGAAACCTCAGTAAATGTAACACACCTTCCTTCCTGGGGAGCCACAGGAATGTCCAGGTTCAAGTCCAGTGCCAGGTTTAGTCTCTGTTAGGGTCCCCTCCCTGTGACCTCACTTCCTGTCTGCTGGAGTCTGTCAGTCTGTGTGAGGAGGTCATGGACAGGTGACAGGCATGTCAGTTTCTGCTGGAACTGGATAATTATTACTGAGGAGCTTTTAGTGTGACAGCTGCAGGATTTACAGTCCTGTGAGTCACACTGAAACCCTGAACCTCCGCCTCTTCAGGATCCTGAATCACAAACATGAGCTGTACAAAGATGTCATCACTGTCAAGTGAAAACACCTCCAGGTGGAATTCATCGACCCTCATGTAGATCAGAGACTGATTACTTCTGTCCCTATGGATAGGAAACAGCTGAGTCTTCTGTATATGGGACTGATCAAAACTGGATTCAAGCTGCTGAAATGGATCTATTCCAGTCCATTGAGACTCTGCAGAGACCACCAGGCTCAGAATTCTCCTATAAAATGTGCTGTTCAGCTCTATTTAGTTTAAGACTCTATACAAGAATTGTCCCAGGTCAAAGTGGTCTGGAACTCAAGCAGCAAGATTCTTAGTCCAGTTCTATGAATTCTGAGGGTCTTAGCCATGCACGTGTACAACTCTGCTCTGCGCAGCCCCAACTGGTCCAAAATACTGTAGCAAAGGCAGGAAAGATGTAACTAGTCCCTCACTCAATACCAGGGCTCCTGTTACCAGTTCAAAAGGTCCAGAATTTGTAGCATGGCTCTTAGTTTAGGTTTAACCAGTCTAGAATTTTGTAGTCCAAATATAGTCTGTAGTCTAAATTCTAAATGGCACTGCAGGTCTGCTTAGACCAAACATTCTGGTTCCTGGTCCAAAAGGTCCAGAATTCTTTAGTGAGACACTTCTGGGGTCAATACATCTTTAACTTTGCAACAGAGATATAAGTCTGGTTCTTTCTGGTCCAATTTAAGTGGTCCACTGCTTGGATACAGACCAAATGGTGCAGCATTCTGAGGCAAAGCTCCTGATCTACATGTCAGGTCTAACATTTTGCAGTGAGGCCCAAGTGGTCCCGGACTCTGCAGCAGGACATTCAGTTGTTCCAGGCTCAAGACTATGTCCAGGAGTTTTCATTTGCTGCTGTTAGTTGCTGTTTTAACAACTCGTCAATGAAGCTGAGTGTGGTCAGGTTTTATACTGCAAAGCAAAAGGTCCAAGCAGTGTTCCAAGCAACGTCAGTGCATAAAGCTTTATGCCCAAATGTGTTGGTCTCTTATTGTTGCAATTAAAGTTGCTCAGAATACTTCAAATGTTGCCAGACCTTTTGCTTTCCAGTTTGTCCACCTTGCCAGTGGGTGAGGTCGTACCAGTAACTTCCACTGAAAACTCATCTCCATCTAAAAGACTAAAGACTAAAGATAAATAAAGTCATTTCTCATCGCTTTCCTCCTCCTCCTCTTTGTGTCCTTGCAGCCTTTTGGTGTAAGTGTCCTTTAATCCAGTGGCTCATCCAGTTAATCCAGTGTGATAATGGTGAGCAGTGATCGGCTGTTCTGCTCTGTTACTCGCTCATTAGCAGCTTTACACCGTCAGACTGGAACCACTGAGGCAGAGTAAAAACCAGAATAAAGACCAGCAGAAACTGACCTGGGACCAGTTAGAGAAACAGTGTCTGATCATGAAAGGTCAGATCTTGAGCCAATGAAATCGACTGATACTGATGGCGCTGCTTCTGCCAGTCCACTTGTTCTGTGCTGGAGTCGCAGCTGTAAAGACTGAGCAGCAACAACACGCTTGGCTACCTCTCGCTGTTTAAGCAGAAACAAGGGGAGAGAAGGGGCATCTTTGCTTAGACTGCTGCCCCCGCAACCCGGTCCCGGATAAGCGGAAGAAAATGGATGGATGGATGGATGGAAGGGGAGAGATGCCATTTAACAACGAGTTTGTAAAACAACATCAAAAACATTTTCTTAAGAAAATAAATACACTTTTTTGTTTTACCGTGAACTCATTAAAGTTTGCATTTTCCTTCAGAGTACCAGATTCAGGCTGATGTTGTAAAAGTAAGTGGGGCAGGTTTAAACAGATATTCCCTGGGAGTGAAATAACTGAACACGTGGCGGAAAACTGGTTTGTTTTTCACTTCCAAACAGGACGATTTCAGGAGAAGGTCAGGGGTTAATACAACAGTAAATTAAGCCTAGGCCTACATTTTCATGGTTGTGTTTTTTTTCCAGTAGAGTTTGCTGAATTAAAGATTAATACTAAATAAAAATTTATGGACAACCTTCACGTTAATTGGATTGTAACATACAGTATGTAAAACCAAACAATCCAGGGGTTTACAGAAGGTCCTCTTACTGTTTCCAGAGCTTTCTTCACGGGTGCAGCTGCTGTCAGGTTCCTCTGCAGCCTCTGATGTCTGATGCTCCCCTGAAATCTGATGCTCAAACATGCTCAGACAACCTAAATATGTGACGACACAACCCTGAAGCCGGTTCAAATATCTTGGAGCTTCTTCCACCATATATATATATATATTTACTGTTTATCATTCCTTTATATGACACAGGTAGGCTACTGTTGTTGGTACCTGGCAGCAGCCTACCTGAGTGTTAATGGTTAGCTTGCCACCAATAACCCTGTCTCCTGTTTCTCTGTTAGCCTGCCACATTTTGGATCGACTGAGGAACTAAAGAGACACCGACACACTATCCAACTCTCAGCCAGACTGTAATCACATTTGACTCAGACCCCTTTTATACAGTTAGTGCCAGGTAACAACAATGTAAAACCACTGTGACCGTGTTAGCCGCCAGTTAAGCTAACACAAACAAAAACAAGACAGTCCAGGTGAACACCAGACTCGTGGTCAGGGTCTGAACAGGGTTTGAACTCCCACAGTGATTTGACTGTGTACCTGGGGGTGCAGGGCAGTGCGCCTCTGCATATTCATGAGTGTTGGCATGCACAATGAGAGACAAAGACCAGTTGTGTCTTCAGCCTTTATCAGAGGGTTATTGAACTTTTTGTGGAAATACTATATTTTTATTAACAACTCTTTAAATTATTAAGGTGTGTTTATGAATTAAGAGGTTCCCACAAGGTTGTTAAGCGTGTTTTCCCATTAAAACTTGTTAATATTCTCCAATTCATTATTTAGTCCAAACTGTGGATTTAAATATCTCAGGTGAAAAGAAATCACAGCAGCATGATTATTAAGTTACAATGAGGTAAAAACCTTTAAAATGGAGCAAGAAGCAGGGCCAGGACGGATCTGAGGCCTTGTGTTAATTAAGAATTAATTATTCTTTAAAGAATAAAGTAAAGGTATTGGATCACTGTTTGTTGTGCGGCTCTAGACGAAGCACCTTGATTACATCGTTAACACCTGAGCTCATGTAGCTTCAAGATAAATACATGATTCAGTTTCACAGTGATGTAACAGGAAAACCTGGCCCTGACCAGTAGAACATAAAAATCCAGTTTATGATGGGCTGGTTTGGTCCCACAGGAACATGGAGGAGGAGGAGATCAGATCCGGAGGGCTGGACCTGCAGGAGGAGGAGGATCACATCAGCCCGCAGGTCACCAGCACCTCCTCCTCCTCGCTAGCACTCTGCCTCTCTCTGCGCCTCCTGGCCCGGCTCGGCACGACTCGGAACAGTTACCCCTGGACCAGGACTCGGGCACACAGACACACGGTCACAGGATCAGGAGACCGGGAGCGGGACCTGCAGGATCCGTGTTCCGGCTGCGGGCTCCCGTCATGCTGGGCACGGTGAAGATGGAAGGACACGAAGCTCCGGACTGGAGCGGATACTACAGCGAGGAGGTCGGTCACTCTCAGTCCGCCTTACCGTGGTGTCTTACCGGGTCTGGGTCAGGCCGTGATCAATCTAGAATTTAAGGGAAAAGTTCTTCTGCAACGACAGTTCAACTTCATCAGTTTCTGTCCCGGAAATGTCCCGAAGGAAGATCATTAATCAAGGCGTCGTTGTTTATCTTCTGACAGGGTGGATCCGGATTCTTTTTAAATAATTGTTAAAACTGTTAATAATCTGCAGTAGAAACGCGTCTTTCTGGACTGTTAGATACCAAAAGTTTTGTTTTTGGCAAACAAAACGGTTTTGCAAATAAAAAAGGGAGGATAACACTCATTAACGTTTAGAACAAAGGAAAACGGAAAATAGCCCAGTAATGTGCGCAAATGTTGGTGGTCAGCGCGTAAAATAAACTCTTCGTTTGTTCCGTTTATGAAGCAGGTCTGGAAATAAACACACTTCAGCGCGTTAAAAACGCGATTTTACAGCAACGGAGGATAAAAAGACAAAAAGTTTAAGATGTTAAAGGTCGAATAATGTCAATAAAATGTGAGGTTTTAGGGCGGAAGACGGTAAAATGTGTAACTGTATTAAAGTCACTATGTTTTATCATCAAAAAGGGTTTTTGTTTTGTTAAGACGAGATTGTTTTAAGTCTGAGTGGAAATTTACATCGGAGCAAAACAGAAAGCAGAAAAGAGAAAGAAAAGCAAAAGAGGGAGATAAACATGTTGGACCAACTGGATTAATTTGAGCGATAACAAACAGCGTTAACACGTTTCACATTTGGTCCAGACTCGCACCACAAACACCGACTTTATGGCAAAATGAAGCTTCAGGGAAACGAATAAAATAAATTAAGGCTCGTTGATTTTTTATCTCCTGAGTCATAAAATGAAGTTTTAAAGGCCGCGGTGTCCTGCTGTGGTTTCAGTCTTTAGGAGACAGGCGGGGTCCTGTTCAACAACTCATCACGCGCATTATTTCACAATAACCACACAACGACACGATTCATAAAATGAGACAGAAACAGACTTTTGCCGTTTTAATAACAAGTTAGGAGACGCGTTCACTAGAATCCTGGTTGAGATGTTATTGTAACAGAACTGAACCAAACAAGATGCTGATTTCATTTGATGAGTTCACGGCGCAGCTACAGGTGAAAGCATCCGGTTTATTCCACCGTATTTTACCGTTTTATTTATGGTATCGGCTGAAATACGTTTTAAATGGGACAAATGTTTTACTTCAGATCCGTGTGTGAACAGTTCATCTTCTAATATATTTATCATATTAAATTTGTATAAAATAAAAATGTGTGCCTTGACGTGGCAGAGCGTGATATTTAATCAGTTCAGAAAACAGAAAGGTTTTAGTTCAGGTCAAAATAAAACATTTTCTTTAGAATGAAATTAATAAACGACAGAAAAATTTGACTCCTGTATTTTATTGTATTTTTAATTATTTTTATTATCATTGTGGCCTCTGCTGTTTTCAGATCAGCTCTGAATCCATGATGAAAATGTCGGAAACGAGATTATTTATGCAAAGTTTTAACCTAAAATGCATCTTATTAACACAGCTCTAATTAACTTCACATTGGAAATTTGAACGTCGTTATATTAAATGAGTTTCGGTCAGTTAGAGAATTTTTACAGACATAAAACACATTCAACTTTAAGCCTTTTATTTTTGAAGCCTTAATATTTAATGATGATGTTTAACATGTAAATTAAGGACCATTCTTTCACTTAATCTTTTAATTTCAATTCATGATTAACGTTTGTATCGATCAAATGTTATTTATTCAATAGTTACATTTTATTGGAAATAAAAATGCCAGGTATTTTTATAACAAGTTAAACTGACGGGCCAGAGATAATTATCAAATGTTTCAGTGGCTTAAAATCGATTGAATTTATTGATAAAAGGGTGAATTTCAAATGAAGGTTTTTCTTTATAATAGACAAATGATTGGACACTAATCACCTTAATTAAAATTATTATTAACATGGGGTTTCATGCCTTTTCACTGACAAGCCAGCGTCAATCATTTCATTTCATTCTCATGCTGCAAGTTCAGTAATGAAACCAACCAAATACTGATCCACGATTATGAAGAAAACATTGACCTGAAGGTCCAGTCCAGTGTAAACACCTGACCAGCCAAAACTAGTTCTAAACCGGTCTAAATGGTCCTGGTCTACCATTTTGTGGCGCTGTCTCTGCTCTGGTCTGCAAGTGGACTCCCGGATGGCAGGGATGGGTTTTGTTTCAACTGCTCCTTTTCTAAGTGGTTCTGGTCTAACTGGTCATGTTTCTGCTCATAACTGGTTCTGTTTTTGGTCTAACAGTCTCTGGTCTTTCTGCAGGTGTACTCTCCAATGGCAGGTGGTGGGATGGGTTCTGGTCTCGGGATGGGCTCCATGTCAAGCTACATGTCCAGCAGTGGGCCCACATCAGGCTCCTTCAACATGTCATACACTGGGACCGGTCTGAGCCCTGCCCCAATGGGGGGAATGGGAGGATCAGCCCATACAGCCATGCCGGGTCTGGGCGGGAGCGTGGCCTCGATGAGTGGGGCCATGAGTCCATCTAGTATGACTTCAGTATCAGCACAACAGGCCTCAATGGGCCTGAACCCATATGGTGGCATGAGTCCCACAATGAGCACTGGGGTGGCATACGGCAGCGGTGGACTGAACCGAGCCCGTGACAACAAGGCATTCAGACGGAGCTACCCACATGCCAAACCCCCCTACTCCTACATCTCACTCATCACCATGGCAATCCAGCAGGCACCCAGTAAGATGCTGACACTGAGTGAAATCTACCAATGGATCATGGACCTGTTCCCGTACTACCGACAGAACCAGCAGCGCTGGCAGAACTCCATCCGGCACTCACTGTCCTTCAATGACTGCTTTGTCAAGGTGTCACGCTCGCCGGACAAACCAGGGAAGGGCTCATACTGGACCCTGCACCCGGACTCTGGAAACATGTTTGAGAACGGCTGCTACTTGCGGCGCCAGAAAAGGTTCAAGTGCGAGAAGAAGATGTCGACAAAATCAGATGGAAGGAAGGAGCAGGGTGGAGGAGGAACATCTCCTTCAGAGGACTCTGTCAAATCTCCACAACTTCTGGACTCTTCCCTGCCCTCCTCCAGCCAGACGGCTTCACCTCCTGGTCTGGACCTGAGGGGAGGTGTTGGTGGGACATCAGACCTGAAGGTATCCAGCTCCCAGCTCCTGTCCTCTCTGTCACTGCCCCCCCACTCCATGTCACACGAGTCCCAGATGCACATCAAAGGAGACCCCCATTACTCCTTCAACCACCCATTCTCCATCAACAACTTAATGTCCTCTTCAGAGCAGCAGCACAAACTGGACCTGAAGGCCTATGAGGCGCTGCAGTACTCCTCCTACAGCACTGGGGGGGCGTCTGGCCTTGGGGGTAGGACCATGGAGTCTTTGGAGGCTTCCTACTACCAGGGGGTGTATCCCAGACCGCTCCTCAACACCTCATAGTACCCACTGCATGTCTGGACGCTTTGCATGCAGCTGTCCTGGACTTCCTGTCTGACTGTGATGAAGCTGAACCAGATTGACCCTGCTGCTGCAGCTGCTGGTCTGCTGGTTTCTGCTGCTGGTCTACTGGTTTCTGAACTCCTGCACTGTGACCAAACCAGGACACAAACAGTTATCTGTCAGCTGATTAAACTGACTACAGGTCTGTTTTCTCCTTTACACACTGAGTCGCAAACAGGTCAGGCTAAAACTTCCAACCCTTTATATTTAAATCAGACCAGGTTCATCAGTCAGTTGTGAATCCAGGAGTGTGTTCACATTGGTTGGTTAGTGCAAAGTGTAGACGTGACTTTATGTCAGTGGTTCAGGAGTCAGCAGCCCGCCAGTGGGTCACCAAGATATAACTAACAAACATTTCTGCTTCACAGATCAGTGATTCCAGAGCCTTCGGGTTCAGTGTTTGCTCACAGGACAGTTCAAGACCCAGGGCTCTAAAAACAGTTTACAGCAACATGTCACAACCTGTGACTGATCCAGACTCATAACCCAGTGCCTGCTGCTGCCTGCAGGGAGGTGGACTGTGAGGGTTTAGAGGTTGGGTGGAGGATGCAGCACATCATCCAAGAGTTAATGAGTTCTAAAAGAACAACAACAGTCAGGAAGACTTTATTAGTTTGTGTTGACTCATGGCAGAAACTCAGCATGATCCAGCTGCTAAAAGTCCTGCTACAGATGTAAGGCGTGTTGAATCTACAACACCCAAAATCTACAGAGCCTCTGACTCTGGGGTAGGATCCTCCTTACTGACACTGTCACAGCCACCCCTCTGAGTGATTGGTAAGATCAGTGCATGTGAGAAAGTAGGTGTAGCTTGAACTTGTCTTTCAGCTGTGGATGTTCAGACCATGTAGAAACAGAAGGAACCATTATATGAACTTTCATAGTTAGGGCAAGAAAATTACTGCAGGTCTGTTACAGGACAAGTCAGGTCCACATGGTCCGGGAAGGACAGCGTCCTCAGGAACAGGTTTCAGGCAGAGGCAGGAAGTGTCACTGAAGGTCTGACAGGTCCATTTACACACTGCAACACCTCAGAGCAGCCTGCCTGTTCACAGACCTGAACACTGATCGGTACAACAGAGAACAGTCAGCGCAGCGTGTTCTTTCCATTTGATCAGGAGCTTTTGTGCCTTTAATTTCTTCATTTGTCCAGAATTATTCCACAGAGCTGGACTTCACTTCCCGAGTTTGTCCTTCAGGCAACAGGGGTATACTTTTACCTGGGCGGAGGCGCTGTCTTACAGACTAAACTCAGGGAACTGTCAGATGATTGGCTGCAGCGTTCAGGTGAGGCAGGTGAGACATGAGGAGTCCTGCAGACTGCTCATCACTTCTTTCATGGCGGTCAGAGAACGGATGGACCTTAAGGTAAATGAACACAAACGCTGTCGGTGTGTGACTCTCAAACGAAGCTGTTCCCTCACAAACCTTCAGTTAGTTCGACCTTCACTCTGAGACACGAAGAGGGAAATGTTCAGCATCTCACAAAAAGCAACAGACTTTGGAGGAAGGTCTGGAAAGTTCTGTTTGTGCAGCAGAACCTGTTGGTTTTTATTTACAACTTTGTTAATCATCTCCAGATGCCCCCAGGCTTATTGACCCCCGAGGGTGAACTACTCATCTAAGATACCTGACAGACAATACATGTGAGCTGCATCTGAGTCTAAATGACAGGTTTAGGTTTTGTCTCCTGGTGACTCAGAGGTCAGAGGTCACCTGGTGACGATGAAACTGTGGTTGTCATGGTGATGCTGACAAGCTGCAGGTGTTTACAGACACAAACTTGGCTCCAGGTTATGAAGCTTGTAATGAATTGATTTGATCAGCGATATGATGGGAATTTATTTCTCCCACGACCTCGTCTGCCTCTCTGCTGAACTCCTGAGGGGTCATGACCCTCAGAGTGAGAAACCCCTGGACAGATAAAAAGGCTGTACTTAAAGGGTCAGTTCACCCAAATGACTGCAACGCAGATTTCCCTGCCCGTTTGTTGCCGTCTCATCTGTTTCCCAGCAGCTGAGCTTTTGTCTCCCGGCGCAGCGTCGTCGGTTTCTACGTTCCGGTTCGGTCCAGTTTCATCAGATGAGGTCAGTGACTGACAGGAGCTGAGCAGAGACAAACAGAAGCTCGGCGGCTTTACTTTGGGCTGAAAACAAAACAAACGTGCAAGGTCAGCTCCGCTCTGCAGGTTAAATGTGCAGAAACGCTCGGACACAGAAAACCCAACCGATTATTCGCCTCATTTTTCCGACTCTGCCCAAACGAGCCGACGCCACGTGGCGTTTCCGTCCGTCACGTTGCTGTGACAGCTATGATCGTCTTTACACTGTCGGACTCAAACAGGTTTCCACTCAGGCACCGAGCACACTGACTGAATGAGGACAAGGCAAACTTTTTCCTCTGCTGTTTTTATTTATTCAGTTCTTATGCTCGATGCCAACACGTCACATTAAGATGGTGAAACCGATCAGCTTCGCTCCACTTCCTAATCAATCATCATCTGTTGACCCTCTAAAGACAAGTGTATTACCTTGTTAGCCAATCATTTCTGTTCTCTCACATTATCCCAAATAAACTGTTTAATTAATGAAACCTGAAAATATCCATCTGAAAAATCCCGGGAATCATTCACCAATAATCAGAGTTATTGATGAATCCACTAGTTATTGGTGGATGTTTAAAAGATCTTTGTTTGGTGACTTCACTCTGTGTGTAAAAGGAGAAACCGCTTCCTGACAGTTTTCTGACTGTTGATGCATCTGATTTATTGAACTCTTCTGTTCATGTTCATTCACAGATTATTGATTACTATCATGTGCATGAATGAAGTGGGAGGTCTTTTCTTCTTCTCTTTTCTGGAGAAAGAAACGTCAGTTTTACTGTACAGCTTGCCATCTATCCCCCAACCACACATCAGCTCGTCCTCATGTGTTTGTTCCTCGTTGGTTTTTGACTCTGATGCATGTTCTTAACTTATTCTGTCATTTTCAAATAAAACTAAGAAGCACTGGACATTGATTGATTGGTTGATTATTGATTTTTCCCTGCCAGGGCATTTATGGAGCCAAAGTTCAATTCATATTTTATCATTTATTGTTTTGGGGTGGATTCGAATATTTGGGAGCCAAAGCTGAGCTGTAATTAACAACGTGATTATTAGTGATTTACACATTTATTAAGGAGGCAAACTGCGTCTGAAAAATCTGGTTGACTTAGTGTTGAATTAAGGAATATTTCGTCGTGTTTAAAGAGGATTATAATATTTTGAAACCACTTTCTGACATTGTGCTTTATAAAGTTTTTGTAAGTCGTAACTAATGACTTTATTAGTGATTAATCACTTAAGATATTAATGGCTGATCAGACTGTGTGAGAATTATTCCACTTTCTGATAATGTGCAGATCCAGCAAATCTCCACCTGCTCCACTACTGAGGCGTCCGAGCAAAAAGCTCCTGTGAAAACCTGGCATCATCCACGGAACAGAAAGATTTTGGTTTTTTATCTGAAGACGTTTCTTGGAAGCTGTTTATCTGAAGATCTGTGGAAATACATAGTTTTTACTGGACAAGCTAAATAGGAATAAGTTGTTGGTGCAGATGTTTCCAGATGTTCACTGATGGAGAAGCAGCAGTGATCAGGTATTTTCAATAAATTATTGATTAAGCACTGATGAAACGTGGAGAAACTTTGGGACATGGGGCCACTTTTAAATTTAAAAAGACATTTGATAACACGTCCAAACTCTGAGTCTGACAAACACTGAGGCGGGCACCTTGAAGATGTTGAACAGTTTCGTTTTATATTGGAGGGAGCCACAGTAAACTCGGCCCAGCAGCAGGAGAACACCGCACAAAAACGGAATCTTTGATTTTCTTTGTCAGGTTAAAGTGGACGAGGCTGCAGGATCAGTTTTTTAGAAAGTCCTGGTTTCAGTCCTGAGGCCAGAGAGTGTGTAAAAATGATCCGACTCTGCTTGGTGTCACGTTTAAATGATGATGATGATTGTTGTTGTTGCACTTGAACCGATTATCGGACAAAATCTGATCATTTCTGTTCAAACAGACAAAATCTTTTGTAATGGAAACGTAATTAAGTCATTGTCAGATTAAAACCGCGTTTCTCCAGCTTTGGGATGATTTTGTAAGACGAAAGTGGTTTTTCCACTTCGGGTCCAGTTCGGTATCATAAAACAAATAATGTGTCCAGTTCGATCCTGAAGAGACACGTTCAAATGACATTAATGATATTAAAACAAATTTAAGTCATCAGAGAAAATAAAACAATATTTTCAGAAATAAAAATCAGCCCTAACCTGCTGGTTTACTGTTTCCCACCATTTTAACAGCTGCTGCTGTTTTTGTTTCCTACTTTGCCATTTGTTTTGTTTGTTTGTGTTTCTGTGTCTCCTCCGTTTTCGGTTTTCTGCCTTTTTCATGTTATTTTCTGGTTTCGGATATTTAGTGTTTCCTGTGCTTCTCTTCTTCTCCTCCTCCTCCTCTTCCAAGTTCTTTATTTTCCTTTTTTCTTTTCTTCTTCGTGAGTCTTTCGAGCCCAGATTTGTTCTTCTCTCCGCCGGCCTC